TCAGACGGACAATGATGGACGCCTCTTCTAATGGCGCTTCCCGGCCGCCTCAGAAGACGGGAACACTCCGGTCCATAAACACAGCTCCCCTCTTCTCCAACCACAATTATAGTCGCTCCAAACGGCTTCCGACACGACTTCCTCTCACACGTTGAGTGAGCGCTATCGCCACTTTATTGCCTTGCTCACCTCCCGTCTCCCTCACTCATCTCTCTGTCTCTCTCTCTCTGTCTCTCTGTCTCTCTGTCTCTCTGTCTCTGTCTCTGTCTCTGTCTCTCTCTCTCTCTCTCTCACTCTCGCAATCTCTCTCTCTCACTCTCTCTCTCTCTCTCTCTCTCTCTCTCTCTCTCTCTTTCTCTCCCTCTATCGCTCTCACTATCACTCTCTTTCTATCTCTCTCTCCCCTTCTCTCTCCCCTTCTCTCTCTCTCTCTTTCTCTCTCTCTCTCTCTCTCTCTCTCTCTCTCTCTCTCTCTCTCTCTCTCTCTCTCTCTCTCTCTCTCTCTCTTATCTTTCCTCGTTAAGTCTATTAAAATATGAATGTTTGTGACTATAATTCTGTTCAGATAAGAACTTTGATCATCACTTACTTTTGAAACACAATCATACCAATAAAAACCCTGCTGTCGAAGTTCCCAAAGTTTCTTCACTTGAAAACTTTCCCAATCATACCAATTAATGTTTGTCACCGTAATATTTCACTAACGTTCAAAACAAATTAAACATTTGGCATAAACGAGTTCTCTTATGCCCGATCCGTCGGTCTGTCTGTCTGTCCGTCTGTCCTGTCCGTCTGTCCATCCGTCGATCTGTCGTTCCGTCGGCCGATTTTCTGTCAATGTATGGGCTCCATTCATCCATCGTCAGGCCGGCCCAGTGGCGATCTCCTCCCGTAAGACCCCGCGGGCAAAAACCCCAGCTCGCCGCCAGGAACACGCGTGCGGCCGTCGATGTCTACCGTGCGCCGCATCTGTCGGCCTCAATCAGCGCCACTCCTTGCCGCCAACGCGTCACTATTTGCCGCAGATGCGCCGTCGCTCGCCGAGGGATCTGCAGGCAGCGAGGGATAAAAAGAAGCGGACACACCGCACCGTTTGCGACTGACGGGGCGAGGAGCGGGGAGGAGACGGAAGGAGACAGCGGGAGACTGGAGAGACAGACGGAGACAGGAGAGACAGACGTAGGCAGGCGGAGAGTGGAGACAGCCAAACATGACGCCAGGCTGGTGTTTCGTACACGCAGCATGTTCATAATTGGCAAATGAGAAGTACACAAATTGAGGACCACTTGTCTCCTAATTCCTGAAGTATTATGGTCGAAATGCTGTCATTGAGTTACTTCAGAGCCGATCCCCAAACTATCAAGGTGAAATTACATCAATTACATTTGATTGTGTTATAAAGCGAGCCAAATCCTATTGCTAGCATACCGTCCTTACCTGTCCTTGTCCAAGGCCGACTGGTTGTTTGCCTTCAATTGATCTTCACGAATTCCTGTAACACAGCTCGGTGCGGTTAGCGGTGCAACAAAGAGATCTCCCAGATGCCTGCGCGCACCTGTTCTGTCGTCCGGCCCTGGCTACAGCTCGCTCTGCACCAGTTCTTGGCTCGTGGCCGGCTCAAACACGCTGCTTCGTATGCCGAGTGTGCCCGAGTAATAGCGCATTGTTCCCCCTTTAGCGCCGGCACTAATTTAGTGGCCGTGTCCGCCTGCAAATGATACAGCTTGGTATGCAGCAGGTGAGGCGGCATATGCTGCCCCCGGTGAGCTCCCGGGCGACCGCCGCGCCGCCACACCGGACCCCGTGGCTATTCTTCGGAGGGGCGGCGCCGGCCGGTGACGCGCTCCGAGGAGGTCATTGCTGCTCCCCAGACGTCATGAGAGGTAGACGCCATCGGAGGTCTCTGACGCAGCTGGAGGCAGACACTGATGGGAGAGGCCGGCAGTGGCAATTTCGGCACATGTAAACCAACTTGTCCTTCAAATGACGCTAAATTGTGGTCACACGCGGTGACTTGAAGGTTTTAGGTCACGATATCAGGGGCGTCGCCACGGCTCCCCAACTTGTACGGACACATTATGTCGGTCGTGTCATTCGTCAGAATTGTTAACCCCATGAACAATACTGTTATCTCACTACAGTGTACCAAACGTTATGCGTTTTGCATGGTGTGTTCAACGAGAGATCAAATTTGAATTTGAACAGCCTAAATCAAATTTGAATCATGAATGGGACACTTTTAACGTAACGAGTAAATTGTCTTATCGAAATGCAGTAGAATGAGGAAATGCTTGAGCAGGTAGATAAGCACTCCTGTTTATCTCGTATAATAGGGTACAGGATGTGTTCTAGCATCCCAATCCAGAATACCTGAGCATCAAACATATCTTTTTGCAGACACCTCCTACGTCTACATAACCTCCTACATCCACATATCGGCAAACAAATATGCAAGCGCTCCTTGAACCATGGACCCATCAAAAAGAAAAAGAAAAACGTCCATTTCTTGATGACTGGGTGTTTTAAATGACTTCAGGCCCTTACATTCAGCGTTAGCTCCTGCTAGTCTTTGTTGGCCTCTGAGGGTCCTCCCTGGACCGCTACACAGATATCTCGAGCTTCCAGGCGACCTTTAAGAGCCCACGCCGACTTTTAGGGGTCCAAAGCAGCTGAGCTCTCTAACTCCCATGCAGTTCTTGATGCCCCATTCCAGCTCACGGGAGCCCAAACCTGCCTCGAAAGGACCCATTCATTGCTTATGAGTGCCTAGCCTTGCATGTGCCTCTGAGGGCCTCAGTCCGGCCTCTAAGGGTCCCTAGTAGAATTTTGAGGGCCCCACCTGACCCTGAGAGCCTGCGTCGACCTCTGAGGGCTCCAGGACATGCCTTGGAGAATGTCGGCCAGCGATCGCTGAGCCCAGTCAGTTGACAGCTCTAACTCGATGTTTCAAACTTTGTGCTCATCATGAACAACAACACGAACAACATTTTCACTAACGTTAGTAGCACTTTCGGTTTTTTCTTCAACTTTTCCGATCACGGTTTCCCCGTATTAGAATATCGCCCCACGTCGCTTGGGCCCGCTCGATGGGAAACACTTGTGTTCTCCAAATAATGATGCCTAGGTACTTGTTTCTGATTAGCATGAATGACGATTGTGACATTTGTGGAACCCACATTAGAGCGATATTTGATCTCTTCACATGGCCATATTGAAGGACATAGTCTTCTTTCTCACAGGCCCTTGTATTACTGAGGCCCTGCCTATCTGAGCTCTGTCCTTCCCTGTGTAGGTGTCCTTCCTGTGCTCTGTTCCATGTGCCCCGCGCTGTCCCCTGTCCTGTTGTCCATGGCAAAGGCGTGCTCTGTCTCGTACTTAATATGTACCTACCGTCATTTCCTGTGCCCAGTGTTTGACATTTCTGCATCTGCTCTATCCTGTGCATTATCTTACCTGTGCCTGGTTTTGTCTGCTTCCTGTCCTGCATATGCCATGTCCTATGTCCCCTGCATATCTCCTACCCTACTCTACCATCTCTACCTGATCTTTGTCCTGTCCTTCGCCCTGTCGATTCCCGTGCCCCGGCCTGACCCAGTGCCTTCTCTGTCTGATGCCCCAGCTAGGTAGTCCCTCCCCATTCGTCAATGCCCTTGCATGTCGTGCCCTTCTTTTCCTGACGAGTGAGCGGTCCATGATCTTCAAAACCATTCTTATATGCCCTTCATTCTCTTTTCTCCCTAGCAACCCCGGCCTGTCTTTTTACAGGCAGGCCTATTTTTATTTTTACATCCCTGCCCTTTACCCTCACCCTACTCTGTTCAGTTCGGTTCGACCCGGTCTAGTCAGTTTCAGTCTGCTCATTTTGCCCTTCCGTATTTCTTGCTGATCAACAAGGAGAGTGTCAGGGCTGGGGGGAGGTCCCCTGCCTACTGCTCCGCAGTGTTAGGCGAATTCTTTCAAGCTTGTGCGATCATCTGGAATCGATCGGCACCTAATCTACAAATGCATTTGAAAGAGAACAAGTCATTGAGCTAGTAGATGTGTACGAAAAAAATGTGATAAAGACCTTGTCAAAACTAAAACATTCTGAATACTTTCAAGAAAAATAGCAATATTGATAATGCTTTTACGGCATTTGTAATTTGAATTGAATAGGTATGATGCAAAAAGCTCACTTTCGGTCGTCGAAACTTGTACGGACATTCCGTACAAGTTTTGGGACCTTCCAAAACTTGTACGGACACTGTCCGTAGTGTCCGTAGTGGTGGCGACGCCCATGCACGATATCTACACAGCTCATAAGTAGTTTTCCTAAGAAAAGCGGAAGGGAAAAGAGAAGATCCAGTGCATGGCGAATTAAATCAAGTGAGAGACGGCTGTTTCTCGTAAGCACTAAGCAGGTAGCAACAATTCCTGTGCTTCTTGCAGCGTGCACTTTATTACATCCCTTGAAGTCTGTTCAAATATTACCGGCAAACACAAAGGAATTTCAACACGGGTATCAGGCAGCCATAACGCAGCAGTCATTAAGTTTGTTCTTGTTTTGCCCGTCATCACGGTTGGGTGCACTGTAATTAGGCTACCATATAGGAGGGATACTTTTTTGGGCTTTTAATCACCAAGCAATTGAAACTGATCGATGTTGGAATACGAAGCTCAGCAGACATATTGCGATGCCTGTTAGTTTGTGCCGAACGTTTGCATAGGAAGCAGTGCGGTTTAGTTTCCTTTGCTACGACAGAGTTCAACACCGCATGTCTCACAGAAATGCTGAGTTTTACATAGCAATCTCAGCGTACTGCAAGTTCCGCGGATGGTAAGACTGGATTGCTCGAGCTGACATTTGCCACCGCAAATAGATGTACAACCATTCATAATAAAATTGTTTTCATATGGACCAAAGATAGCTTCTAATGGCGATTAAGAAGTGTTCAGGATCCCGGGTGTGGCGAGTCGCAGCCATCGTTCTGCGTGTTGTCTGCTTCATTCTCTTACTGGTGATGTTCTCCTTCAAGCTGGCCGACTTCATGCACCGTCCGGTGGTCTGGGAGACGAGGGTGGTGGACGCCGCCCCACCTTCCATCACCATCTGCCCATCCAGGTTGAACGTCTCCAGCTTGGAGGACGCTCGGTCCGGCTGGGAGCGGGGCAGCTTCACCACGGAGGAGGTTCTCCAACGGGCTGCCACGCCAGTCGAGGCTATCGTCATCGCGTGCTCCACTGCTAACGGCGAGGTCTGCACACCTGGAGGAAAGCAGCAGAATGTCCCAGCTATTTGCAGTGCTGGGACTTTTCCATGGGACTCGTCCACAGCGCATTACTGCAACGCTTCTCGAGAAAATAGTGACAGCGGCGGCAGCAGGAGTGGCTTCAAGGCCCGCTGGCTGACTCGACGCCTTCCTCCGGGGTTCACATGTCACACTCTTCATCTTCAGCAGGACGATGATGCTCCGGTGGTGGAGATTCTTCTCACACTCGCCCTTCATCCCGACTTATTCCACACCGTGGAGGGCTTCTACCGTCTGTTCTTCCACCATGGGCGCTCCCCGAAGGTCTGGAACGGCGGGGCGCAGATCAGCCCCTACCATCTGGTGCAGGGAGGCCTGTTCCAGGAGGTGCTTCTGACGCAGATCGGGATGACCATGGTGGACCGACCTCGGCAGCACTGCCGCCCAGAGGAGGACTACGACGTCAACCAGGTGGGTATTTTGTTGACGATGAAGGAGGTGCAGCTTGAAAAAGAAGGCTCCTGAGGAAATCGCAGCCTTTTCGAATGCTGATTCTTGCAATATAAGTTTTAATTAATCTGGTGTGTAATGTGCATGATCAACGTCCGACTAACCTCCTATAGCTCTCAGTGCTCCATTTATAGAAATGTGATCGGTATGACTCTGGAGCATGGACCGTCGGTGTCAGGTAAATCCATGTTCCTGTCTCCCACCCAGTGCCTGCTGGACTGCCGGTCGCTGGCTGCCTTCACCGAGTCTAACTGCAGCGTCCAGTGGGGGGCGACCAGCGGCGGCGGTCTGCCGGCCTGCGTCTCCCGGGCCGAGTACGAGGCGGCTGTCCGAGCCTGGCAGCGGGCGCGGCCCGACTGTGATCACTGCCTGCGGCCCTGCCAGACCCAGCTGATTGAAGTGAAGTCGCCTCCCGCCATTCAGGGAAATGGTGAGTGACCTAGCTGAGGTCATATCTTAAGTTCGATAAAAGGAAAGTATCACAAGGAACAGCCAGACGCTGCCAAAGGTTTAAGCGTTTGCTAATATAATCAGTCTTAAACAAATTATGCTATTTTGGCTCACTTGATTGGAACAGTGAGCCACAAACATCAATCATCACAGGTGAGCCTCGACTCGTTCCACTGTCCCTTGGCAGCTTCGCCAGCAATCGACATCCAGACTAATCAGCATCATGAGTGAGTCGCGACTTGTTCTGCTTCACTGTCCTTTCGCAGCTTCGTCAGCGATCGACATCAAGCTGCGCTTCAGCCCGGAGCGTCTGTCGGTGCGGCAGCGGCTGGCCTACGAGCTGGTGGACCTGCTGTCCGACCTGGGCGGCGCCTTCGGCCTCCTGCTCGGCTACTCGCTCATGAGTCTGGTGGACCTGCTGGACGCGGCTGTCGGCTGGAACGAGCGGCGCAGGCGGCGGAGGGCGGCGCCAGAAGGGTGGCGCTGAGACTGTGCAGCTGTGGACCCCGAAGCGCTAGCCTTTCGGATGAACCGGTCAGTGATTAAATCTCCTGCTTGCTTTGTTTGAAGCAATCGCAGAGGTATATAACATCTGTATGTAAGGTTTTTTGATGCATTTATATGCATTGCATATCATTATCAATCCGCCAGTCGATTACAAAGTTAAGACCTCGAGGCGCCTTCTCCCTGCCAACAATTCATCGTATATTTTTTCCGTTTTCTGTTCTTTATCCTTTGTCTTAACTCTTAGCCATGAGCATGTAAATTTACCATCACTTGTTTCAGGAAGACATTATTATCAATGATATCTTTCTATGGGTGTTGCAGTCTCGTATTCTGACATTAATAAACGATTGTTCCGAAGCATGCCAACCCTCGCTAGCATGACCATCATCGTGACGATCGAAGTGCAGCAGAAATGCAAATAGCGTGCTCCATGCTGAGAATGTAAACTATTACGGATGTTAAGAATATCGAAACACATCCACAAAGGCCCTCAGCGTGTAATTGTCGTAAAACACATATTCTCATGAGCAGCCTAGGATTTCACTCGGTTGTCTGCATTATTTTCAGCATCTCGGAATATATGTAGCCTTCCTCTCCGCGCTCAGCTGCTGAACATTGACAGGCGCGTCGGACTCGCCGCCGTCGCGTCATGCTGGCCGCGCTGACAGCCAGCATTTGCATGCAAATTACTGTGGTCCAGCTGTCAGTGGTCGGACAGAGCCGTGTCCGCAGACCGTCAGCCTGTCCTCCAGCGCGACACGTCGCCGCCTGACCTCCGTCAACAAACTCGTCGGCGTAATTCGAAACAATCTAAGGCCCGTCGTTTGCGGCGGCAGCGCTGACGTGCGCCATGTCCGTCGCACGTGACGTCCCACGCGCGCCACAAGTGTAAACAGGCCGCTTGGTGAGCCGGGTTGGCTTACGCCGGCGGCCCCGAAACACGGTGTAAAAACGAGCCGGTACGTGATGAGGAGCGCCACAGGTTTACGAGCGCGCTGGGACAGCTGAGCTGCCCGACTTCCTGGTGTTTACTGTCGCTTCGGCCTTCGAATGGATTATCTCAGATTACCAGCGGTGTTGAGTGACTCACTGACCATTTATGTCAACAGATGTGCACCCAGCGCTTGGAATCGTGGAGAACCAACCGCTTAGTACTTACAATCTGGTGAGCATAATGCCGCCTAGCCCGTTTTGAGTCTAACAGCGCCTACCGCTTCAGCGAGCCGATCTCGCGTCGACTCAATCGACGCCTCGATGCAGGGACAGGCAGCGCGCCGGCGACGGCATATTTCGTCGGCACGAGGGGAGACGTCAGATCGTTAGCCAAGATGAGGGAGAGACAAAGAGCCCCGCAATGGGAGCTTAAAGACACGTTTTTATTGGATTACGCCCTCCAATGCGGTGGGGACAAGACGGGGAACAAAATCGATCCCCATCGGTGGGGAAAGACGAGAGTTTGGGGAGCCCCTTCTCAGTTCTGACGCCAAGAGTCGTAGAAGACGTTCCCTAGCCGCGCGAGCCGCAGCCTCCTTGTGGCGTGCCGTATCTCACGCACAGGATGGCCGTCCCGCTGCGACCAGTGGGGTTTCAATCGGCCGATGCATGCCAATGTGACTTCCTCTCGACACGCTTCAGCCATAACTCGGAGTTAGAGTGGTGAGACAAACGCATCGGCACAGCAGCCTCGCAACTTCTCTACTCTCGCTCTCACTCACTCTCTCTCTCTCTCTCTCTCTCTCTCTCTCTCTCTCTCTCTCTCTCTCTCTCTCTCTCTCTCTCTCTCTTTCTCTTTCTCTCTCTCTCTCTCTTTCTCTCTTTCTCTCTCTCTCTCTCTCTGTCTCTCTCTCTCTCTCTCTCTCTCTCTCTCTCTCTCTCTCTCTCTCTCTCTCTCTCTCTCTCTCTCTCTCTCTCTCTCTCTCTCTCTCTCTCTTTCTTTCTCTCCTGTCAGGCATGACTATTCCGATACAATTTAGAACGACTAGAGTAAACAGCTTGCAGACGGCACGGCATGATCGTTGACTGCACTATATACCGATCATATTTTTACCGCTACATATTTGTTGCATTAAACTTTTCTCATAGCTGACTGCAGGGCTTGAGCTGTTTTCGACGGTTCGGTGAGGCAATGTAGGCTTGGTATTCACTTTAGCAATGCTGAGAAGGCGAGTCAAAAATACCCACAAAGTTGAACTGCTTTGCGGTATCGAGTCGTACCTATAGTTGTCGGATTGAACTTCAACGCCCAAGTGTATTTATATTTCAGCGTAGGTAAACTGAATTTGCGAATAACACTGTAACCGGTAACTGTGCGAAAACTGAAAAACAGAACTGTGAAATAAACTGAATCTAGCTTTATCGAGAAGACTTATAACTTTTAATCTCTGGTGATCAGGACTGCCTGTTCAATTGGAAACAGCGTGTTCCCGTCTTTGTTGCAGTATTCTACTCCCTATTGGCGCATTGTTAAGGAATGCAGATGGTTACGCACTGTTCTCTAACACAGTGATCAGCACACAATGCACGTTGCACAGTTTCCACGCTATCAACAACTCAGTCCATTTACAGAAGTGCAGTGTGCACCGGACTCGCAGAACAGCACTCATGCGCCGTTCTGCTAACTAGGCACATCCCATCCCGTATTCTTGCATCCTTCGCGTCCCCTCCGTTCCAGAGGGATGAACCATAGACTACCGACGCCTGTCCGCGCCCCGTTCAGGCACCTGAGTAGTGGCCCGCCGCCCCCACCCATATCACCCATCCCCGCCCCGCTGACCCCTCAGATCAGGGGTCGGCCGGCAGGACTGCGATGCTAATGCAATTAACTCGTCGCCGCTAATTTATTGGTTCGGGGGAGCGCACCGGTGGCATTCCATCGGGGAGTTTATGATGCCTGCTGCGGCTGCGGACGTCTGCCGGTGGGGGACGGGGGTGGAGGGGGGCGGGGGACGGGGGGGGGGGTCATTTATATGCGCGTGCCGCCGGCAGAGGAAGCGCTATAACGCCGCTCCGGTCGGCCGAATGGGCGGCCGGACGGCGGCACGGTTGGACCATGAGAAGGACGACCGCAAGGAATGATACCGTCCGGACGACCGTCATTCCAGATCGGCCGCTAAGGAGCCCAGATGAGCCCAGATTTGGACGGTGGAGGCCAATTTCAGGATGTCAGAACAGCCCCAGAAGCGAACGCCTGAGCCGTGGAGATATAGAAAGGCGCCGATGTGTCGTGGCGTCACTTGAGAGGATTTCGGTGAAAATTGGTGACGCCATTTACGACAGCACTCAGCAGTGAGTGCAGAGATATGATTTGAAATATGATTTCCTAGAATAACATTTGTTTACGCTCGCTTCCATTGAAAGCATGGTTCCGCATGCCTTGAAAAATGTTATAGCTACAAAAGTTGTTCACATACCTATCTTTACTTCATTCCAGTGTTACAATTTTTAATCGATAAGTATAGGTAAGAACTAAGATCAAATACTCCCGCGTGTAGGTATTTTGTAGAAAATTCATCGACGTACCTATCGTGCAGTCAATGCCATGAAGAGGTTAAATTAGTGTTAGGTGAAGAAAAAAGATTTAGTTTTTTAAATCCGAACACAAATTCATAGCCCACAGTCATTGCAGGCTTATCATCAATTATTTCCTCCATCGTTGAGACCGTATAACATGTTTGTACACACATAGGATTTCGGCTCAAACAAGTTCCCTTGAGATCATGCTCTAAAATATCGCTATTTTCTCTTGATCATTTCACTTGAAATTGCAACAGTGCACCAGCCACATTATCCGTGGAAACAAACGTGAGACGAATATAAGGTCAACACCGGCCCACAGCTGTAAACTAACATCGAATATCACTTAACCATTCGCTGCAAACTATAAACAACGTCCTGTGAAATCTGCTACGGAACACAACACTTATCCAGTGCAGGGTACCAGAAACAGCAAACTATCGAGCTTTAGGGGGAGAGGTTCAATAGGTATAATGCTATACACTCTGCTTTTTCCCGAACGATTGGATAGGTCACGCAAGCAGAAACCTATATTTTGATATGTGCATTGCATTGCACTATGTAGAGCAGATACCTGGGAAGATGTACAGGGACTGCACTATTATAGAATACCGTGAAGAGTCGGAGTCGGAGACAGTCCCGAATCCGATCCAAAGCGTTCGTGGTGGTGGTTGCAGACCCGCGCGACATCTATTGGGGACGGCCAGAACTACGATGCAGAGCTGCCCGCCGGCAAACCGTGCCTGGAGTGAATGAGCGCTGTCGTCTGGCAGGGCCATACCGTACGTTTTCAATGCATCCGTTTTCCATAGGTTACCGGTGATCAGGCATCGGTAAAATCCTTTTTGAAAGGATTGCATTCCCAATCCACATTCCTAGTGCCGAAGTGGATTGCATTCCTACCCGCAATCCCCCTTTTTCACTTGGATTGTGATCAAATCCGCAATCCTTTTTTGCAATCCTGTTGTATTATTATGTGCACTAGTGGATCTGGGGGAGGGAGGGGGGCATAGGGCCGTGCCTCCATCCCCAAATCACCCATTTCTAATGCCTAGTATTGCGAGTAATTCCTATCTAAGGCACAGGTATTTTATGGGAAATATTTTTTGCCTCAAACACCCCTACATTTAAACCTCTACCCAACCAGTGTTTTATATTTTCAAAACTCGCCCTCAAATACGTAATTTTGCCCTTCCTATGTAGTTTATGAGCGTATATTATTTTGAGCGTTTAAATTAAAAGCGTTTAAATTATTTCAAGTTTCGATGTAATAAAGCCCTTGATAGCAAAGTACATTAACCCTCGCCCGCACATGCCATTTTCCCATCCTACATTTTCCCATGTAGAACGCACATGGGGGGGGGGGGGGGTGGTGGTTACCACCCCCCCCCCGCGCCATTTCGTTCCTGTTGGAGATAGAGATTAGCGGTAAAGACCAAAAAGATTCTTTGGGAAGAGACGAATCCAATGATACCCAGTTTTACCTTCTCAGGTCAGTCATTGACCTTCCAGGTCAGGTCAAACTAAAAAAATGTTGCTGTTTTGGGTCACCGTTGGATATCAAGTGCGCTGCTTATCATATATCGATGACGATGCCGTTTTCTGGTGCCAAGCCAGCTAGAACCTCTTTGTCACACTACCCGACCAGGTTTTTGCTGCTTATGAGTAAAAAACCTGAGTTTTTTTACTTGCTTTTTTGCTGTCAAAAAAGCTGCTGAGGTCATTTCAGGTCAAGTTAGGTCAAGGTCAATTATATGTGTTTGTATGTCTGTGTGTGTCTGTGTGTATACTGATGTGGGCACCGATTGTTTATGTGTCCATATTACATGAAATCATGAT